AAATAATATAATTAAAATATTACGTAATATTATAATTGTAAATTATACATAATCATGTTTACAAAAGAGAAAAGCAGAAATGCATGAATTATCAATCCAAAACATATATACAGAAAATTTGTTGCCGGGGAACAAGCTACGGTCGTGTTTTTCCATTATACGTAAGGAGCTGCAGTTCCGCCGCTAGCTTCACATCCCCGCCATCATCTTCTGGAGTGGATTTGTAATGGCATGCGTACAGAATTAGCTGCATCGTTCCAAAAACTGCTCCGAAGCCATTCCCAATCGACACAGATGAAGCAAACATCATTTGCTTTTATCATTAATTACCATAATAATAATTACTAATGTAGTGACTTGGGAAATAAATGCATTTAATAGTCACATTGCTAATAATTTTCAAAAAATCATTTTGTGAATTAAACATAAGATTATGAATTTAAAGAAAAATAAAATGAATCATTAAGATTTTTTCCAAAATATAGAGATTGAAACGAATTTGGGCATATACTACCTATATAACTCCATTAAAAAGTTCACAAGTGAAAGATAAAATGACATATACTTAACGTTCTTTTTTTGTTTTAAGTAAACCAAAAAATTTTATTTTCTTAAGTATAAGGGTACCCTAACCCATTTATATTCCTAACAAACAGCAAAAACTGCCTCTCCTTTTCCAAACCTTCTTACAGAATTTTAAACACCATATATATCTTCCGATATAGAACCTAACGTCCAGCATGCCTTCTTATTGCTACTTTGGGGTCATCTTTCCATAAATCTTGTTGCAGATTTGGATATAACTTGGCCTTTAACCAGTAGAAAAATCTATGCTTAATGAGCTCACCAACCTCCTCTTCATTATCTTGTTCTTGGCCAAATATATACCTTTTGATTCCTCCAAACCCATATAATCCAGATCGTTGTCAACCAAATCACCCTCCATGCTTCCCTAAACTCCATTTTATGAACAAGCCCCATATGCTGCTCGTAATGTCTTTGAACATCCACTTGTGCTGCTGAAGAAAAACCGCACCAAGACAAATAATATGTCCAAATTTTTCAAGAAAAGAGGCATTTAAACAAAAGATGGGCCAAGGATTCCTCCTCTATTGAACACCAACTGCACATAATTTTTGTGCTATCCGTGATGATTCCTCTTCTAGCCAAATTAGTTTTAATCCATCAAACAAAGCTCTCCATGCCAGTGCTGCAACTTTTAATGAAGCCATACTCTTCCAAAGACACCTCCCTCAAAGAGAATATCTATTCCCCTTTGCTTTCCCCATCCCCTATCACTCCTCCTATACTTGACGCCCTTTGCTTTAATTACCTTCCTCTGTCAATAAAATAAAATAAAATAAAATAAAATAAAAAAAGAGGGAGGGGGGATGAGCCAATTGAAATTTAGAGGGACTAAAGTAGATCTCTGCTCATCTGTTTCTCTTATCAGCCATGTGCATGTCGCCACTATGCCCAAAAATACAAGCTCAACAGTGAACCAACTAATGACTTTGAGCTGCAATTAAGATTTGCACCATAAACAAAAATTGAGATAATTAAGTTCCTAATTTTTAAATTAATAGTTATCATGCATAAATTATTAAATAAAAATAATTCATTATATGACATAAATAATAATTATATGAATTTTTGTAACTTGTGGCCCTTAAAACAAAGGTTAAATTACTTTTTTGCATTAAATATACCAAAAAAAACATAAAAGTTAATATTAATTTTAATGTTAAGTGAATTTAATTGGATAATTGATAAATTAAATGTTGATTTTTATTTTTTGAGATTTTCTATCCTGTTTCGCCGGTTTTCTCTTCATCCATGGTCCTCTTTGTGATTTGAACTCCATTTTTTTGCTTTTCAGTGTCTCTGTTAGGTGTCTGTTTTTATGAAGGTTGTTTAGGGTTTTCTGTTAAAGGCTTAGTTAACGTTTTTGATTCTTCGTGTGTTTGGACCATGCTAATTTGATCTGTGTCCTTAATCATGTAAATGCTGATTGATGTAAAAGGTTTCAAGCTGACTTTGGGGGAAATTTTGCATTTCAGAGGGTTAATTTCGGTTGTTGTAGTTTGTACAAACGGTAGTCATTTGAGGTTCTAGGTCTGGTGAATTGAGTAGCTGGAGGTGGAAAGCTCAGCAATAGTTGTGAAACATGTTAAAAGAAGTCGTTAAAATAATCTGGGAGGGGTTATTAAGGGTTGGGACTTGGTTGATTTTGGCATAGGGAAAATAGTACTATAAGAAGTCCTGGTTTATAAGTTTGAACCACTGTCCATGATCCATGACTTCAAGTGCGAATGATATAAAATAGTGATTAGTAAGAAAAATCTACAAGAAACTGATGCATGTTGCTTTGTTGAAGTTCAGGCCTTCAACCTGTGTCTTTTTTTTGTTGGGTATTTTATGATGCTGTCTAATCTATTTTAAGCATGCAATCAATGGTATAAATCTTGTTGGTTTGAACTTTTAATTTTGTTTTGAGTTTGTTTCGTTGCATTAATGTGGTTGTCCAAGTTTCATTTCTGTCAATAAGGATATGGACAAATTGTGCTCGAGCAGAATATGTTATGATTTTTCTTTTTCCCTTTTTCTGTTTCAGAGCTAGCCCTAACAGTGATGTCGATCAATGCTCTTAAAGATCTCAATAGCTTACCTGCATCTGAAAGCAAGAATGATGACTCCAGTAGAGGGTGTTTTACAAAACCTTGCAATGGGAAAATGTTGAAGAGGAGCAGAGGAAGAAGTCTTCTCCCATTCATGTTAATGGAGGTGAAACTGTAAATTCTGGAGTAGAGATAGCAAATTCATAAGTAGTATACATTGAATCTGAGAACTTGAGTGATCTTGCAGACATTAATACAAGTCTAAAGGTATAACTCCTTGCTTTCCCTTTTTCCTTTCCACTAATACTTGGAAGTACACTGTATGCTAATATGCTTAAATTCCTTTTCACAAATTATGACTTTTGCAGACGTTTTCACTGCATTTAATGACCATGTAGTTGATTTGTTGGATCCACTGGTACTTCATAATCTCTAAAGTCATTGCTGCCTTTATTTTTGTTGAATGATTACCTCCTCACTAGTGAATAGTGAGTGAACAACTAATATTGTGAATGTATGCCCAAATATCATCAAATGCAGCTTGTACAGCTTGTACTTAAATCTTCACAATACAAAAAGTTCGTTTGTGAGGCAGCAGAGAGCTTTAGAGGCAATGACTACTTGGGTTTCCCCTATTGTTTTGTTGCCAAAGTTGCAACCATATCTCAAAAACGGAAATCCACAAATTCAAGCCTAGGCATCAATGTGCTTTTCTCAAAGTGTTCTGTAACTGGTAGGAAAAGCATGCTTGATTTGCTCACTGCTACTTCATTTGTTTACTAATCGTATGGAGCACTGAAAGAGTTTCTATTGGTCAATGTCTATAACAATATTGCTGTCTTCCTTAGTTTCTTTTCCACATTTGACATTCCTGTTAGATGGTCCATTTCCTGATTGCTGTTGATGCAGATCAGATCATCATCTTTTTTTTGGAGTTTCAATAAGAATAGTAATGTTGCTTTTTCAACTAATAATTGAATTGTACAAAGAAGTAACTACAACTGGGACATGGATTTTTGTGTATAGCTTGGGCAATATACTATTTTTAGATGTAACCACGTTAGGTTTTTCCTGGCATTAGTGGTTTGTAAGCCCTAACTTGCTTCCTAGGGTAGCTGAATTCATGTTAATTTCATTTTTACAGGGTGTTGAGGGAATTAAAACATGTGGAATTGACAGATTGATCCAGGTAGCTGCATCCCAGCTAAGTGGTCAGCTTCCTGAGTCCAGGGATGCTGCTCAAACCCTTCTTCTGGAGTTGCAAACTGTATACAAGAAATCCTGTTGTCTCTTGTCAGCAACAGTACACGAGCATCCAAAGTTGGACTCTTGGGAGCACTTTTGTCAATCAAAAATCTCTCCTTTAAGCACACAGGCTGTACTTCGTGTCACGAACACCAATGTTGCTCGGGAGGGTCTTTTTGTTAGTTCATGACACAAGTTACATTGTCCATACATGAGCCTTTTGAAATTAGTCTTTTTTTTACCTGCAGATATGAGCCTTAGCTAACAGAATCTATAATTACCTTTTATTGGGTTGGTTTCATTTCATCCTTTTCTTTTTCTGTAAATGCTCTTGAATCATTGAGATCTCTGCCATTATGGTTAAGAAAATAGTTGGGTTTGGAATCATTGAGATCTCTTGAATTGTAAGTTGGGGGGCTGACTTGCTGGCAGTAAAGAGCACAATGGCTAGTTTTCCTTAACTTGACAAGTTTGAGGGTGAATTTAACCTTTTTGCCTTTTAAGACAAAACAATGTTTATGTTGATTTTCTCATGGTTCAAAGAGAAAAAAAAAAAATGGAGGGAAATGGGCAAGAAAATAAACTGAAAAAGGGAGCTAATTACAAACACTTTAATTTAAATTTCTCATTGAAAAATTTTGCCCTTTCTATCAGAAAAATCAACCCGAAAAACAGTGCGAAAGAGTATTCTGCACTAAATATTTTTTGTATTAAGCTCTCATGTTTTCTATTATTTATAGAAAATTACCCATTTCTATTTTTTGTGACACTGGACCCAAAACAAATTAAGATAAGTAACTGAAATAATTAAATATATATCCAAGTCGATGGTTCATATTTCAATATAAATTATATAATTATAATATTATATAAGATTATAAATTTATAATTTAAATATATTATTAAATAAATATATATAATATTATAAGTAAATTTTAAATAAAAAATACAAAGCTAATAACTTTAAATAAAAAAATTAAAAATTTATTATCTTATTTAAAAATTAATATAATTTATATTTTTAAATAAAAAGTAATAAAATTCATATCTTTAGTCTATAGTTCTTCTCAAAGAGATAGCTGCCGAATTGTTAAAAACAATGCTTGACGGGTAGTTGACTTGAGGGGACGCCAGCGGTTAAAGAGTTGCCTGAATTGTAAGTTCAGGGGCTGATTTGTGGGCAGTAAAAAGCACAGTTGCTAGTTTGGGTCAACTTGACAAGTTTGAGGGTGAATTTGATCTTTTTGCCTTTCAAGACAAAACAGTGTTTATGTTGATTTTCTTATGGTTCAAAGGAGAAAAAAAGGGCCTGTTGGCTGGAGTAGCTAATATTTTGACGGGTACTAAAATTTAAATAACAATAATATTGTATAAATATTTTTTTTCCTTTTACCTTAAATTGTAACAGTTCAAAGAAAAAAAGTGGGGAAATTGGCAAGAAAATTACAACACTTTAATTTAAATTTCTCATTAAAAAATTTCGCCTTTTATATCAGAAAAATCACCCTAAAAAACAGTACAAAAGAGTATTCTAGATTCAATATTTTTGTATGTAGCTCTCATGTTTTCTATCATTTATAGAAAATTACTCCTTTCTCTTTTTTCTGACACCTTTGGACCCAAAACAAATTAAGATAAGGAACTGAAATGAACTCTGCATGTGATCAGTGGATGTGCCACGCTACTTCAAAGAGTAGCAAATGGAAATCACTCAATTTTGAATTTAAATGTTGATTTATAAATAGATGCTAACATTTAATTAAT